TATACTGTTTTCTACTTCTTTTGACCGGTTCTTCTTTCTTTCTTCATCCTTGTTACTTGTTTTGCTGATATGAGGTGTGGCAACTTATACCGTTACTCAGTAATACTTAGTCCTATGTTAATCTTGATGATGACACTTATGTGACCTCTGGTCAGAAGTCAGAGTATTCAAAGATTACTGTCACTTTTTCTTTGACCACATCTGACTTTCTTTCCAACTATTTATGCTTAAGCTAACATGCGTCAGTGTGTTTGGTGGATAGGTGTGTGCAACACCTCTCTCACTTAAACTTATGCCAGGCTCCATGTTGTTTTTATCTGTGATGTTTATGGACTTTCTATTCATGGTTTGTTGAATATAGCAACTGAGCTCCTCACTATTTCTTTCAAACTATTTGGTATGAAGTTAACATGCATTGTGATGCATGTTTTCCGGATTTATGCCTCTAGTTGGGTTACTTACCAGTCACATGAAGGGATTACAGCATCTGTAAAACAGAACGGTTGAACTGTTATCAGAATAAATTTATAATTCCCATTGTGACATAGAAAGCAAGAGATCCAGCGGACAGTAACTTTTCCAAAAAACGTATTCTCAATTTTATATATATATATATATATATATATATATATATATATATATATATATATATATATATATATATAATCACAGATTACAATCCGTGGGGAAATTTAAATAATGGAAGATAGAAATATCGAAGATCGTGGTTCTTGTTATAATAGCGCTGCGAGTTGATGATGTAGAGGTTGAATGGTAACAAAAGAGGTTTACATAGGATATTCAGATCGTTTATAGGCTGCATATAAATTACAAAAGGGTAGAGACACGATCGAGAAAACAAACAAATGATGAGTAATGTGAATGTGAAAAATCAGTTGAGATATGGAAATGTTTTATTAAAAGTTGCAATTATTGGGAGGACTAAATGAAGTAGCACTGGGAACTGTTAAATGTGAAAATAATATCGATAAAAGTGTTCAGGAAAAGTTGAAAAGACAAAATGATAAAAACCAAGCCAAATAAAGGACAAAGACTATATACTCCTTTTGCACACAGAGAGCCCCAGCTTCATTTCATGAATAGCCAAGACATCTGCTTGAGTTTCTTTCGTTAAATCGTTATCATTACTGTTGTTTGAATAATTATTGATACTTTAAGTTGTCAGCAGCTGATTAATTGTTATAAGTTGAGATGGATTCATTTTGGTATGTGAATTTTGTTCTTGTTTTATTTAATGGGACAAGAATTGATAAGATCTTTGAAAAGTATTTAGTTGAACTGAGCAAAACACATACGGCATGTGATATACTGTGCTATTTATTAGCTTTTGATTCATTGTACATAATCCACTGCTAGGACTTTTGTTTCACCTGAGGCTTTGTTCGAAAAAAAATGTACTAAGACATTTGAACTTCAAATCTGGGACTACTTATCCATGTAATTTAAGCCATATTATAACTTGGTCATTATGTGAGTATCAAGACAAACCCAGCATTTCAGGTTAACTAATAGTTTTTATTAGGTTTCAATTACCTGATTACTCTTTTAATCCATCTGTTAATCGGGATTTCTTCCTGTTCAGTTTTCAAATCATCTCTGGAAACACATTTGAGAGAAAAATATTAAGGTATTTCATTACAAAGTATTACATTTTCTGTTTGGATTGAAATTGAGCTATCTTTTGACCGGAACAACCTTTGAACAACTAGGTATTTTAGGCTATTGTTTTTAATAATTTTGTTTATGTCACGTGTTAAACTGTTCACTAGCAGAAAAGATGTATAGCTTTGGATGCGACTGGTAGTTATTTGATCTCTCAGGTTGGCATGTGATCATATTCTTTTCACCATCAGGTTTTTTCGCTTCAGTATCATCTATCCTGATGGAGCAACGTTCACCATCAAATATCTGAGCTTGGAGAATATCGAACAGCCGATACATAGGAGCATCTTCGTTACTTTTGGATAAATTAATTGATGTATATAGTGACCTCATGTAGAACTGTACTAAACTGTGTCATTAAAATGTTTTAAATATATGTATTTACTCGAATATAAACGGCACATTACTGCCTCAGATTTGAGAATCCTTGCAGGTAAGAAGATAGTAGGTATGCAGCAGATGGTATCCTTTGTTAGTCACTGCTACTCAACAATCTACTCATTAGATCGAATGCAGCTAACGAAATTGTAGTCTTGGGTAGATTCGACTGCTTTATTCTTTATAATTGTGGATATCTAAGATATCTGGCATTCCTGTAGCATCATGTCATAAAAGGTTACCTTGGCCAATTTTTGTTTGTTATCTACTTCACTTTGGGTACACTACTGTGGTGTGATTGGATATGATCTAACGGAAAGTGATGTCAAATATAATCCTGTAGTCAATTCGTTCACATATCACGCCAGTTCTTCGAACTGCCGTTGATCCTGAATTTGGTAGAAAATCTTGCCCAAATTTGAAAACTCGACGAAATACTTTATTGATTCTTTTCAGGCATTTAATTTATCTGAACTTTACACAGGTGGTTGGTGGATGATTTTTATCGACTAGACATTTGGACACTTCAGACTAAAATTGCTAGGTAGACATTGCTTCATTATATGATTACGAGGTAAATTGAATTGTGTTCTTAATATGTAGGTGGACTTTTGGAGGTTTAAAGAAACTTGATAAGTACTTGTTGCATCAGTTGCTCGACGACTGCAAGGAGATTTCATTGACATGGTTACTGGTGATTGCACCTTCACTTTCATTAAAAACCAGGCTGCAGGAACAGTTGAAAGGGATTTTATTCTCCTAAATTTGGTTTAGTGACTTCATTTCTGAGCAGCTTCTGCAGTCTACCGTGGATCTGGTACTACTAAGAGTGAATGAATCCTACAAGAGGAAGTTGTGTCAGCTTACCCATCTTCAGAATACGATATGCAATTTCAACGAAGTTATTGTTGTGTTGATCAAAGTTCAGAGATAACGGTTGATAAATAGACACCCATTCTCTTTTCGGTAGTAAGTTTTTTATCTGTAGAAAGCAGCGTCTGTTGATTGGATTGCTAAGAAGCATATCTGAAGTCTAAACCAAGAAGTGGGATTGTAAACATATTCTTATCTAACGACATCCTAAGCATGCCTTAGGCGGGAGAAGTAATGTAATATTCCAAGTTTCGGTCCATGAAAAGGTAATAAAATTAGACCTATGTTTCGGATCATAATTAAACGGCACGGCAGATAATGTGCTTGAGGGTAGATAGAATGTATCACCGATGCTAATGCTGCAGAATCATCAGTATCAAGCATCCGACATCAGTGTTAGTCTTTGCTTCGTTTAGAAAACGAAGAACTTCGCCTATCATCTTTGCCATCTTCCTTTGAATGAAAATGAATGCAACCAGTATTGCCGTCAAATTGGTTTTAAGAATACAAGCTGCTAAAGGAACGAATTCATGTTAATTCTATATGTGTCATTCAATCTGATTATGTCAGGAAGATTCTACGACACATGCAGTTGGTCAACAGTGAAAAAGAGTTATTCCAGCTCGTTATCCTTATCAATCTTGAATGATGCCCAGTCACCCAGAGATTCAGTGTGTGCCATAGACTTCGTGAAGTCTTCTGCATCTCATAAGCTCTAATACGATAATTACTTACTTGATAGGTCAAACTATGAAAATGCTTTTTGACGCATGTTGAATAAATCTGGTGCATTAATTTGCTCTCCAAGCATTGCTGTAACATGCTCGACGACATGTGGAGTTCGCGGCAATAAAGGAACCTAATACTTTCTTATTCCGTTTCTACCAATTACCCTATCCGTGAATTGTTGTCGTAAACTATGTTACATACCGTTGTATAATGGTCCAATAGCCCTCAATATCTGTAGCATATATATACATGCTCAACATCCACATTTTACGGTGGCGGACCATGTTTCCGACAAAAACCCGAATTGAATGAAGTTTTGCTGAAATGAAAGCATGAGTCTCACCCTGTGAATTGGGAAAAGGGCATTTTCTCATATTTCTTAACTGTGGACTTCAACACAGTAAACGTTGCATAGGGTTCTCAACAAAACATCTCTATTAACAAATTCTAATCACTAGTATTAATAACAGAAATTGATTGTGCTCATTTCAGTAATTAAGTACTCTTGCAACGCTCACATGCTATTTCATGTCATATTTCAAATCATAATAAACATTTGCATGAATAACCTACAACTTCATAAGCAGAGAAGGGTAGTGGCATCTTTCGGTTTTCAGAAGACATTTCTCTACTCCAGTACTGTATCGATCAGTCGGTTCGATGATATTCAAAACTTACCACGAAGATTACTTTCTGATGTGCTATGTTGTATTTTTAAGGGTTTGTCAAAAAGCTAATTACGTCCGCAATTCCAACTGAATGCACTCACAGTTGCCAACTTCCGTCTATAGTATCTCATATAAAAAGATTTGATACAACTAACAAAAGTGTTTCAACTAATGTGTGGTACGGTATACAACCCAATGACTGGACTTGTTTACACTACAATTTTTTACAAAGTTTTACGATCTGTTAGTTACAATTAGGGCAAGTCTGCCTTGAGAAGGTTATGATTTTTTTCGATTTCACATATTTGGGTTGCTGGTAGCTGTATTTCAGATTTATTTTGTTTTGTAGATGTTACTTCGAAATATTAACGTTGAATATTGTTCTATGCTGCGTTGTACCACTTAACAGAGATCATATTGAGGTCTTTGATCGATAGCTTTTGTCTGTGACCCTAAATAGTGCCTTAATTGAAATTTGCTAGTTAATTCGTGTATTACTGTTTCGATTTCACCCCATCTTTCAGAATTAGATTATTTAGTGGTAAAGTTGACTCTTATCACGTTTCATTTTCTTCATATTGTTTGTCAAAATTCATAAAGAGAACTATTTCTTTTTTTTCCGTTTTTTTTATCCATAAATTTTATTCCTCCTCTTCATTTATGATGAAGTGCGAAGCTCCTCTATCAAATAACTTAAATTCGGATGACCTTCAAACACCCTTATATTTGAGACGATGGAAAAAACGTCAAAGCGAAAAATTGGAAGCGACTAGATTTGAAAGTCAACTTCAACAAGAAAAGCAACTATTGTGTAAGTTAAATTATTTTTCAGTTGCATGTTAATATTACAGTATGTAAAAAAATGTCTTTCCTCTTTAATCGATGGTATATCTTAATTTGAGAATATTGCAGTATTAATTTCTATCATGGTGCTTAACCCGACGTTGAATAATTAAATTTTGCAATACTGTGCCGTAGACTTTCTTACACAATTCAGTATCATTAATTTTTCACTGGAGAGTAGTCAACTTCGTGTTATCTAACCCTGAGTGCTGACCAATCTTATCGATCATTTTGCAAACTGAATAGTTCAGCGATAATGTCTCTGGTAGCAGTTGGTCGTCGTGGGTTCAAATCTTTCAGGGGATATCAGATCCAATGAGGTTGCAAATATGCCTTGCTAACGAATAATAACGAGCACAAAATCTAAGTCCTGGGCTTCTTAGTGATTACCTCCAACCAATTAACAATTTATTCTTGCTTGTTGAAAATTTGTCACAGCACCAAACTGACTTGAATTTATCTTCTTACCAGGGCACCATTTTTACTTTTAGAAAACCATCAGATACGACCAGCACCAGAATATATCACTCTTTGTTGTGAATTCAGATAAACAAGGGGTTGAGGATATGATGGGGAAGATAAGAAATATTTGTTGGAACATTACAGAAGATTTGCATTGACGCAACTTTTAGTTGTATGTATTCTGACAAATACACATTAGTTCTGAGTGTGGTTAAACTTCCCTGGAAAGAGTTTTCTCATTCATTCTAGTCTTATTAACCAAAGTATACTCAATGTAAACTACAAATTAGGCAAACAACATCAGTTGAAAAACATCAAGGCTGTTTTACGGGAGTTTTAAGCAACTCAGGACACGCTAATTAGTGTGATTGCATAAAGGCTCTGAGATCAGTTAAGTATCAGCTGTTCATGATGACATTATTATTCAGTCACCATGCTCAATAGCGCTGTTGAATAACATTTTAACGACTAACTTGAATGCTTCTCTTCTTATATTTAAACTGTGACTGGATACAATCCATTCCTAAAGTTTCAGTCTATATTTAGCGTACTGTTGCATCAACCGAAAAAAGTAAAACATGAATTCAAGGTTTTGGTGATGTGAGAGTCAAACTTTCAAATGGGATTTGTCTCAATTGATTAATTTACATTTCGGTTAGTAAGTCTTCCGCCTTTTTGATGTAATCATCTTTATCCATGACTACTTACTGTTGTGTGCCCTTTGTCAGGTGGAATTATAACATTTTTCTAGTCCTTCAGCTTCTTAAGGTCTCTCTGTTCTTCACTGGTTAGTTGAGTACAGTTTTGCTTCTGCCTGGTCATAGGTACGACTACTTGTCGTATTTCCTGTTGGGTCTCAGAGTTCTGTCCTGAAGTCTTCAGTGATGACTAGGGATGCTAAGAATTCTGGTCCTGAACTGTCTCTCGTATTGTAATTCAATCCTTTCTGAAGAAGTTCCTCGGATTCAGTCAGAGATTGTTCGGGCAAGTTGACTTCATAGTCACTTGTTTCGTCCCCTCCCAATACTCATAGTTTTAAAATTTTGACAAGCTTTTTTCGAAGTATGTTTCTTGTTTGTTCTTTGTATCGTCTACTTGATTTTCCAATCGCAGTTGCCGACGTTGTAAAGTGTTCTGTCTTGAGTAAGCCCTGAAGCTTTCTCTTTCGGCTTCCTGTCACCTGTTGGTGTTTCCAAATCCGATAGTGCGTACCGGTGATCATCAGTTGTACGGTGTGTCTTCCACTCCTTTCCACTGATTTACAGACCGTTGGACACTAGTTGGTACAACATCCTGGAGTAGTCACTTGTGGAGAAAATATAGTTATTTTCTTGTGGAGGCCTGTCTCTTGGCGAAGTCCTTCTGTTTCTGAATGATAAGAAGCGTTTGACACTTGTAGAATTTTGAGATGATAGGGGATGTTTGTAGCTCAGGAGGATAATTTTGATGATATTCTCCGAGCTGGATGGTTTAATTGGGGATCTTTCGTTGTCATTCTAGACAAACTCATGCGCACAAACTCTATCTTTCTAGATCATATATTGTGTTCTCATATTTACTGCATAAATCTTCACGTATTTATCCTGAAAGTGGTTGATCAGCCTAGAACAACATTATATATACCAACGTGAAACGATTCATGTGGTTTTTATCTTTTCTGCGTAATTTTTTTCCTTTTTCGTAGCTCATCACCCATCGAAGTTGGATCCTATCCAGAGGACTAATAATTTGAATAACACTACCGATTCAAGCATAATGTCAGATACCTTAGCAACAAAAAGAGATACTAATCATGCTTCTCTCCATGTTACCACTTCTACTACGGGTGATGCTAGCGTCATTGTTCAGGACGAAAAGACTTTGTTTACTAACATTCCATTCACGACTTCCTCTAGTACAGATATTAATATCTCCATGGTAGCGACCCGTCCATCGACAATAGTTAACGGTGTTATATCTCCAGGAAATTATAAGAAAATACTAATTGATCGTTTTTTATTGAGTCAATCCAAGTCAGAAAGTACTACTGATGAAACTACTACTTGCTGTGATGAGAAGGTAAGTATTTTGTAAATCCTTATTTGATGTCCATTGGGTAGAATGTTTGAAAAATTTTAGTGATGGTTAAGCGGTAGTTCAAAATATGTATTTCTCTTCCGCTTCTGGCAATGATCACATAACTAGTGAATGAACTCCACCATTTCGGTGTTCAGTCGATACTGACTATCAGCTAAATTGAGTAGTGTTCTTGTTAGGCCGCAAACAGTATCAACACGAGACATGAAATAAATGTCTAGCGCCCACATCTGCCACACCTCACATAAGCACATAAAGCTAGAAAAAACCAAGATAAGACAGGTGATCATATCCGATTCAAATGCGCCAGCCAGTTCTTCAGTTGATCCATTTAATAATCGTCGACCATCGTCATTAGAGATTTGTATCTCAGGATGAGGGTGATAGGGGTTTTATGTTCTCTGAGCTAAGACAAAAAATCCCCACCATTTCATCTCAACAGCTTATTCTGAATTAATCAATACACATAAAGACAATTCTGCAGGCCATATGCACAATGAGAAGGGGAAGCAACTCAAGCATGGAGTGACAGAGAGTCTACACAATGACGGTGAACAGTGGTGTACAGCGAAGGCTGTATCGATGAAAAAGGCAGTAGCGATAGGAAACATTAAGGAGTTATTTAGACTGATCAAGGACACATGCAGAAAAATCAATGGTTTGTGAGGTCTTAGTTGTATTATGTTCTCTGAGGTGGGCTGTTTAATCGTGAAGCTTTCATTGTCTTTCTAGACGACATCATCAGCACTAACTTCAGTATGAAGTGAGCTATCAATATCTCTCCGTGAGTGACTTAGTAGCTTGCCTTGACGAAGTGGTATATGATTGAGGTATTGGAGAAGATTAAGTTTACGACTTACTTATATTAAAGATGACTAAACGATGGGTGGGGGTCGATTCGACGAATAGTTCAGCTGACCTCCAACTACTATTTCGTTGTCTGCTTTCCATTTGGATACTGAATTGAGCATTGAGACAATACCTTCAACTCTTGCAGACGATTAAATTGATGTAAGCTGAAAAGAGGAAACGCAGCAGGTCCCGAAGGCATTATACGACAATAGTCGTATTGGATGAACTGAAGTACTAGTTAGCGTATGCGAATCAGATCGGAAAGGATTCATTGTCGAAACGTTCTTGCAAAAGATTTCACCGAATAATTGGTATCGGAACGATCCCAGATTCCTATTCATCACCTTGTGTAATGGCTTAAACCATTCTAGTCTTTTATTTTGTGAGAATGAAAAAGTTACTTGGGCAGTTTTATCCTTACGATTTTCTTTCTCGCTGTCTCTGTGCATACATTATATATCTGATTGGATTTATTTGATAATTCATTTCATATTGTAGGTTGTTTTTCCGCTGCTAGAAAAAGCACACGGAAATGGTGATAAGGAAATCGCAACTAAGACTTCATTAAAAGGATGTACAAATTATCTTTTGAATACCGATGAAAGCGTAAACAATACATCTCTTGAACGTATGAACAGGAGAAAATCTATTTCAGGTACTTCTTTTTTTTCTTAAATGTACTACTGTATTGTGAGCAGCGCTAAAAGCTGTCAAGTGTTTTTAATCTTTTATACCTAATTGCAACCTTTCCTGTATGCTAAAACTTTACTTTATAATGTTAACGCTGCCTATGTTACACACCCGATATATGAAACGTTCACAATTTTCGATGTGATATTGCAAGCTGTAAGTTAGTTTTATATATATTGCTTAGAAGTCAGTACTTTTCTCATGACCTTTGCGCTTACTCCTAATCAATTTCACATTATTTTTGTATGATTTTTATTCATATATACATCTTTTTGTATATGAGCATTAGTTTTATTTAACTAAATGATACCATACGATATGGTACGAAATACAATCAATTTATCACCCTTCTTGATCACCATCTTGTTTTGTTTTCTGGGCTAGTGGTAAATTGAGCGCAGTTAGTTTGTGGATTATACCATCCTCATAAGTGCTAATCATTCGGCCGTATTAGGTTGTGTTGCAGCCATATTCATCCTTTCAATCGATTATTGTTCTATCATATTTTTGTACAGTCAATCAACTATTGCTTCATAAGAAAATCCAATCTGTAAAAAGCTAATAGTGGTAGTCATTCTGAGCCATAAATCCCTTTTTGTTATGAAACTCGTCGCCTCATTTCGGCAATATTACTTCCTGAACTACAAATGCAAGTTGCATCATATGCACACTGAATTTTCCCTCTTGTTCAAAGTCTGGTACATAATTTTCTAACGATATTTTAGTGATGTTTTAGTTTTCAAAGTTAATAATTCTTAGGTACAACTTTGAAGACATCTATGATGCTGGAAAGTTCTGAAATGCAAGGAACATTTACCAGTTAATTTTAGCAGATACATCTGCATGTGAACCAAACCACCTTTAAATGATAAACTCACAAAGTGGTTGGACAAGTTACTTCCCTAAAAAGTCAAGTCATTTGGAAATTTTAAAAATTAAAATATTGCTCGGTTTCCTAAGTAATGCAATTTTCCTTTCAATGAAATGGATGTTAAATTTTCTTTGTGCTTTTTCTTCATTTAGGCGTTGTCTGTGCTGAAATAGAGAAATGTGAATCTCTTTTGGACGTGTATTCCCTGGTATATTGGCGAAGACATTATGTGATAATATGTGTGAAAGTATTTTTAATTCAATTCAGTTAGTTTATGATTCAAAATATAGCAAGCAGTATGCCGCTTCGAAATTGAGTTCTGACTTACAAGCTGTAAGGCCTAACAAAAACATCCAAACAAATATATTTGGTCAAGACAATAGCTCAGAGGATTTTGTCATGGGTATTGTTGATAAGAAATTTGACCTTATTTGTCCAGCAACGGATAAAAAGACTCATTTTGTTGGTGAGAAACATGATCAAGAAAGTTCCGTTCCTGCTTTCTCACAATCCGATGTATGTTTTGGTTTTCATTCTTTTTGTTTTAACCGCCAACTACTTAACCGCTAGCAAGTAGTATACTATGTTAGTAGAAGATTTGCGGAGATAATCAGTTGTATTAGTAATTATCGGGTAACTTTCAGGGAAATTTTTGCACATGGTTGAATATTTTATTCTGAAAAATACTGATAGATAAGTGTTTATTGACATCATATGTTCTGCTGAGGTTTTTCTATAAATCGTTTGTATATATTAGAGGTGATGTTAAAGTTTCATTTGCACTTAATCGGAGTTAAAGCAAATTTTCCCCGTGTAATATACTGTCATTAAGCATAGTAATTTTAAAATGGTGAATTCTTGGGCGATATGCCTTGTTGGCTGGTCTAATAAATATTTCTGGTTGTGCCAGTAACTGTTTCATTTTCGCTGAACTTCTTTATAAAAAATGTAATAATGTAATCGAGTATATAGGACAACCACAGTTCTTGATGAGGACTAACGTTAATTATCAACCATAAAGTTGTCTAAAATGCACTTATTGACTTGCAGGTGTAAACACTTTTATTATGTTATGACTGATTACTGTTGGAAAGTTTTGTTCGAAGATACTCAATCGTTCCGTTTTGTTCCGTTTAGGTTAACTAAGAAACCTTTGGGAGCAGCATATGAAGATATTTGTTTTCAAGAATAATTATTCTAACAGTTATTAAAAAGTAATAAAGACGGTCATTGCTTTTTAGTCTAAGTGTATACATACTGTGCGAAGTATACTGCTGTGAAAACGAATTGAGAATTGATTGGGCTCTTGTAAAAGAAGACCGGTGAACTTCAAAACTTTCTTCCAAGTTCACTAACTCTCAAGGTCATTCTAGTTATGTTTAGGTCAGAGTAATATGGAGCATAATTGAAGCTAAAATAAAGATTGAGTAAACATTTGTTCGGTGGGAAATAGCAATGATATATAGTGAGAATAATACGAGACTGAAGTAGCAATCGTAACTGAAAGAAGTTCCCAGAGTTTCAGATTTACTTGATAGAATAACCTGTGGAAAGGGATTATTAAGGGTACGGTAACTAAAATGTTATAGATCACGGATTCGTTATGTATTTTTTTAGGAAGCATGCGTAAATGTATTGACAGATGGACATGGTATCACGCGCTGAAGTGCAGTTGTCCCAATTGCCACCTTTTATAACGACAAAAACTTAACAGAAGTTGAAAGGTATTACAATAAACAAAAAGAAACTTAGAAGAGGTAACTTAGGTCTCAATCAATTTCTGCTCACTGGGCAAGAAAACGATCTACTTAACTTTATTGGTATCCGTCGAACACATGCATTTTATGGATATATATCTTTTCTTGACTGGTGAGTAACATCTTATTTGACTGTGGTTCAAACCTGTGATCTATTTCTTAAAACTCGTGAATCAGTTAGCTGTAGCTCTTCGTATTGAGTAAGAATGTTAACAATTTTTTTATTAATGAGCAACTAAAAATATCAAAATTTTCATTTACCGTCATTTTACAGTTGTCCAATTTATTACACTTATTACTGGCTAAATGTTCTAAAAACTGTGACATGAATGATCACCATCATTCCGGTGCTGTTATTAGAGATACAGGAATTCCATCTTGTAAAGAAAATCAATCAGTTTGTATTGAAAATGCAGAAACGTCACCTCCATCTGAAATTGGTTCAGATAGTTATTACTCACTATCGCTTTTTAAATTAAATCATTCACATAATAATCAATTGTGTCAAGAAGAAATTACTGAAGAATCTTTTAATTGTGAACGACAACAACAGCAACAGTCTTATTATTCATCGTTGGCGGTATCTGCATATAATTGTTCAGAAAACTCAATAAATCATCAGAACAATAATGCAGTTTCTCAAAATCAATCAAGTTCAACTCATTATCCAGCAGAATGTATGAACGATACGCCTAATGATTCTTCATTATTGGTATGCAGTCAGTCTAATACAACAAAATCAATCAATTCAGTTTTATCGTCGTTAACTTCAGTAATATCTGATATTCATTCTTTTCCTCCACCGAATCAACATCATCTACCGTCATCTCATAAATCGCTAGCATCTTATACGTCAAGTCATTTGCCTGAACATGAAGATTCTTCTGGTCTATTCATTTCATCATCGGCGTTACCACCGTCTTCATCACCTTTGAAAAAGCAACTGAAATACACTGGTACTGCTCATGCTACTTCCTATCATAATAATATCAGTAGCAGTACTAGCGTCTACAGTAATCTGTCATCTTGTGGTTCTACAACAAGATTACCATCACCATCATTTCACAAGTTACCGAATATGTTTATTCGACCCAGTGAATATAATCCTACCGAAGATAATTTCTATTCAAAGTTGCACAATCGGATTACTAATTCAATGCAACAGCAAGGTGATTAATAATCGCTTCCACTTACATGTGATTGTTTGTATAATTATTCCCTTCGATATACTTGCTTAAAATCCAGTTACTAGCGTATAGGCAAGATGGCATTACTGTCAAACCTTTTCCTTTATTTCGATAATTCTTTTAAGTCAGCGAATATTTGTAATTAACGCCTATACATGTTAACTAGTTATTTTAATCTGTTGTTTAGCTATTTTTTTTGACAGGCTTGTTATTCATTGTAGACACCGTAATTGATATTTCTAAAGTAGGTCAAATATAATTTGTAACCAATATGTGAGAGGGAAAAACAAAAATACCGTTTACTGCAGATAATCAGCCGTATATGTTGAGTGAGTGACTCATTATTTATTTATTTATTATAACACAAACAGGTTACACCAAGGTTACACCAAGATATACTCCAAAAAAATAGTATGATAACAATGTGAAGATATAAACGATGGGAAATGGATAAATAAGACAGGCAAACAATAAGAATAGCATGACTGGAAAGGCAGCTCAGTAAGATATATTCAAAACAAAACATTCATTACCTTTCAGCAGTAGAAGATAGGAGGAAGCTACAGCATAACCATCACCGGTTTCAATTCTGAGCCATATCTGATAACGTCTCAAGTTGCTCAATCTCTCGGACCCCAATAAGGGAGTTGTGATGAACCAACAGACGCTAACCTCATACAACTATCATCCCATGGTGCCATGTCATACACTAACCAATTATCCACTTCTTCCATCCAGTCTATGTAGAGGGCTAGAGTATTGGCATAAAAGTTGATTAGTAGCTTCGAAATCCTTGTATGTTTTAATTTCATACCTTGTATGAGGGCTGGAGTACTGCCCGGCCGCCCAAACCGAAGCCTATGGTTGTCTCAGGGGACCACTCCCCGAGCCACAAGGTAGTGTAGCAACACCAGGAGCTGGATCACCATGGTTGGCGGTTACCAAAATAGGTTTATCCGCATCTTGTTCCATCTGGAACTTGGAGCCCATGAGCACCACTGGTTTGGAGTCAGGGTTCTCCAACTCCCGTAGGTGAACCCTCAGTATCCACCAATCCAATGATAAGCCTCGGTCATTCGCTTTCACCCTTTCATATGTGTAAAAAAATCCCCACCACGTGAAGGGAATGAGTAGAACTTCCCTGACAGAGGCTATGAACGGGTACCAGAGCGTTTGGGGGTTTGATTGTGTGACTGAAAAACAGCTTGCAGCTGGGACTCACTTGATTTAATCAATCTCACCCTTGTTTATCTGCTTAAAGTAACTAAACAAACAGACATATCAACATCGAAGAAGCTTGTATGGTTACGAGTACTTCCACTTTCTAAACTTGTCATCGACTTTTACAGGGAAATTCATTAAGAGGAGCGGGGTACAGAAATGATGATAATTTAATCATTAATGGGGAAAATAATCTATAAGACAAAGGAAACAATGTTGTTTGGTCAATATAAAATGCAATAGTAAGGTATTTAACATGTCGAAGAACATTAACTAGTTGAAGCAATGAACTAGCTAAATTTCATATGTCAAAAGTAGGTAGTGTATTTACTATATTTCTGGAGTTTCAGCTTACACTTTTGAAGTCCAAACCATCTCTAGGCGTAAGCATCAATTTTATGTAGTTCTTAATCACTTTTTTTTAGTGAGATATGCTTTCTATATCTTGTGGAAAATAAGTTAATTGTTATATCATCTCTTGTACTCAAAGAAAATATTTACAATTGTGTATTCAAACTGGTCACTGAATAGTAAATGACGTTCTGTCCAATATTCTGGGATGGTTTTGTTGCAGCTGTATGGTAATTTTTATCGAACAGTTATATGTCTTTTGTATGTTGTATGAATCGCCAAAATATGTTACCCTCGCTTCGCAGCTAGCCATTTCGGAAAACTGGTGATACTTAGAATTGAATCAAGTATCACACCATGAAACTGTACGACCAAGTTTTTGAGTGGATAAAATGAATATTATTTTTACTGCTGGGTTATTGTTACTTCTGTTAATGAAGATATATTACTTCAACATGCACAACCAGCTGGTATCATAGACTCTCACACAGTTAGTGTTACTCAAGCTTAGTACATGAACCTGTACCGGGTTAAGTTACGTTGTGTTTTCAGTTGTTGAGTAAGGTGAGGATTAATAAACATTGGTGGAATCGAAAGCTCATAAAATAAAACTGAAATTATTTTCTTTGACAAGAATCGTCGATACACTAATGATAGTAAATGTGCATATCGATGTTGTCTTTGAAAAAAAGGTTTATCTGATCCTTTTGTGCATGTTTATTTCACTTGGCTGTTTTCCTTATAGTAGATAATTGCATATCTTTACTCACGCTGTCATCGCTGTCATTAATTTATGTTTATTTAGGAGAAAAACAATATACTACCAAAGAACAACTTCAGTATCCTACCAGAATAGCTTCAATTAGTTCATACAATGGCGATAATGATGACAATACCGGTGTTACCACTACTGGTCAGAAGCATCCTAATTTATCTTTTATGAATACTGACGATTTCCAGTTACACAGTGATGAAAGTTTATCTCGGAAAATTTCAGCTAGCAGTGAAAATGTATCCAATGCATTTTTATCTAAACGAATAAATGATGAAATCAGTAGTAATCACTGCAACAAACGTAACACTAATGCTTGTGTACTAAAAGAAGCTTTCAACAAGCGCATCACTACTACTAATACTAATACTACCACTACTACTTCTACCAGTAGTAATAACAATAGCAATAATATACCTACTCAGCATACTAAGAACTCAAATAGTTTACATGTATGCATTATATGTTCACGTCAGTTTAGTCGTTCAGATATGCTTCTACGACATGCACATGTTCATACAGGACATCGACCATTTGAATGCACAATATGTGGGCAAGCATTTAGTAGATCTGATCATTTATCGACACATCAAAGGACACATACTGGACAAAGACCTTACCAATGTCCACTATGTTATTACTCGGCATCTCGACGTGATATGATTACACGACATTTGAGGGTACACCAAAGACGGGTAAGTTCCACCGAAAATTAACGAATAACATATATAACACATATATGTTGATTACATTTAAAGAAGCGATTTGTATAAATAATCACTCTAAGCACTACTTTTTTTATGGTTGTAGCTCTACGGAATCTACAAGATAGTTATTATTGTTTTATTATTCTAAACAGATTTACGTCGGAACATTTTAACCTTTAGTAGTCATAAGAAGTAGATAGTGTATTAAAAATCAAAAAAATTGCATACGTTCTTATGCGATATCCAGTTGAAAAAAACTCTATGATTCAATTGAAATTGTGATCTAGTAAACAGTTGAGTTTTATACCTTCGTTATTAAAGAACCTAGCCAATGAACCAGAGGCAACCGATTGGAATGTAACCACTTTCAACTATAATTGCTAATAAAATATGCATATAAAGCGGTCATATTGGTCTCACATAGTCTACTTGCCTATTAGTAGAGTTTAAATTATTCAACTATTTTTAATGAGTTCATAATGTATTTAAAGTTTTATATCTGCCATACTATTATTCCTTAAATAATTAATTCTCTATTGATGTAACCAAATAACAGCCGAATTTCTGGCATCTTAATTTTTATAATCAATACTACTTGCTGGATCAAAATTTTTTTTTTACGTATAGATGCAGTAATTTTTGAATGAATTTATTAAACCTTTAAAAGCTATGAATACGATCTTTTCACATATAAATAATGACCACGCATTTTTCGTAATTACTTAAAAGTCTACTAGTGGTACACTAAGCAATAACATCGAATTGGTTGCCCAAATGGAAAGGTGTATTTTCAGATTCATGATAAAGACTTGAGATGCCTAAACTAACTCTGTTGGGGTTTGTGCAGGAGCAATGTAACCGTATAAAGAAAATAGTGTGGGTGATTGATCTATTATCTTCAGTTAATCAAATCTTTTAAAACTATCAAGATTAGCATTCAATGTTGAGTGTTATTAAGGCATAGACTATCAATTACTAAGGTTTATTTACCTCTATTGGTCTATAACTCTATAAAGTCATAAGGACAATTCTTGGTTCCACTCATGCGGTTAACTTCGATTTTTATCCTGAGTTTCTACTGAATGAAGTTTATATGGGGAATAAGTCATGGATTTGTCCTTCTGACGTCCCAGTAACAAGAGCAAGACAAGCAGTCATTATTCTTTATGATAATTAATAGCCTAGATTTAAGCGGCAGAGCAAAATAATTTACATATTTGAAATGCATCATTTTTGTCCGTTGAAATGTCAGTGAAATACTTTAATGCGGTGATAATTATTTCTGATCGGGTATTGATAAGATAATAAGTCAAGAGTGAAAACTGAGAATTTAAACATGCTTATATATCTATATTTGGCAGGAAGTCTATTTAAGATGTATTAGTCCAAGCCTCATGTCTTTACAACAATAATAACCAACCAATATTTCTGTCTACGACAGAGAAGGAGACTAATAGTTTTTCCAAGCAATAATTTTGTTGATTTTGCGCGTATTCATCTTGTTTTGGTATGAGAAAGCACCAGATAAGAAATTCGTGTCTTTAATTCCTGATGAACTCTTTGTTGTGTGACTAATAACATTCTAAATCTTTGAGGCTTGGCATTTGGATTGTGGTGAATGAGATTTTCGATATTTTGCAGTCAATGATCTAAGGCTTCACTTATATCAAGGAATCGGTGCTTCACACATGATCTTTGGCAGTGACTACAAAGAGTCCATTAGTGTCTTCAAATTTACTTATGATTAATTAACTAGTTGTATTCAACCGTGGGTGAAGATGCATATCGAGCTATTGCAAAGCTATGAAACCACTATCGGAGGGTAACTATTCCAATTACAAGATCTCAGACAGAACACCTATATATTTTCAGCTTCGCACTCCTGATAATTAGGAATATATGACGACTATTCTTCAATTTTTGATACACTGGCCATCTTAATAATTTACCTGAGTGAAAATTTCATTTGGAACCATCGCGTGAAATTACTGATAAGTGCGTAGTTAATTATTTTACTTTTCTTCATCCTTATCGAAAACCGTTAAGACGTTTCCCCTTATCAATCTAGACGTTCATTTCAATTTGTTGAAATTTCATAATACGATAACGTGAAGCCTATCAACTAACCTGAGTGTAGTAAGTTCCATATATCGTGAACGTCAGTATACTGTTGCATAATAATTTTCCTTGATTCCTGGTACCTAAGTGTCTGGTGTTAGTCATCAGTAACCATTAGAAACAATATGTTTTGTAATTTCATGTACAAAATTTCAGTTTCAATGGTGGACTAATTTATTTCTTCATTTATATTATGTCATTGCCGTTTAATAAGTTAAAATGTTTGTATGTTTACTTTTTTTTAACTTCATAATACACATTTTCGGGCTAAAGATAAACAACACAAGGGTAGATTTTTCAAAGGCATCGCGATAAATATGGGAGAAAATTATTATTCAACCTGATCTTTGTAGTTAAACCTCATCTCAGTTGTAAAAAGTAACTTTATTCAATAATATTTTTGTCCACTTTCTAGGGTCATATCATTCCCATCAGCGAAGGTGAAAGAAGCAAGAAATTCTATTTTACCGCGAAAATTTGAAAGAAGGGCGACTTCTAAACCTTGAGTAACCATCCTAAGAAATTGTACCATATTTACACCGAGACAATCTAATCGTTCCTAATTTGTTGAAAACATGTTGACTGTTTTATTCCATATTTTGAAGAGTGTCTGGAAATGGTATGTACAATCCTGTTTAGAAGAAAACTAATGACTACACCTTCCACTATATTTAAACAGAAAGTGACTATTTTTTTAAACTGGTAAGTAGTTTTCTTCATGATAATTGTTTGGTATTCTCTAAAGTTTACTTTTTGATCTTGATATTTTTATAAATTGATTTGACTGTATGAATAACGTTACATTCATAAAGAAGTGAAGTATGCGTAATTAATTTCATTTAGTATTTTCGTTAACCCCGCTCAGAAGTAAGCAGGTTGTAAACAACGAAAGTCTTGTCACATGTTAACTTCAACCATAAATTACATCTATCTCTTATTCGCTAGATAGTGTTTAGCACCGATCGATATCTGTCGATCAAGTTCCTGATTGTGCCCACTCTGTAAATTGACGCTATGCTGCACTGCGCTGCACTGAATTTCTGCGCTAAGTGATGGAAATCAGCCATCAAGATTTAGATTTCGTGCTGGTCGGCACTCATCGGTAGGGCCTATATACAAACATGAGGAAACTGGTTTCCTTTGATTATTCTGACCTGTGGTACTGAATATTAAAGCCAGGGACTTGGTCACTAAGTTTTTAAATCCATGAATTACACTTTATGAGACTGGGTTATATCGATTGATTCTCACGACTTAACACTTAAATGCAGTGCACTGCAGTATCGCGTCGCTTCCTTTAGTGATCACATTGGAAACTTTGATCGGAAGACTTTGTTCATTACTAAGGACTAGATAACTACATGGGTTACCGATTCATGTGCATGATCCAGTCTTAAAAGGATAAGTCATGATCTGAAAAGCTTAGTGGTGAATCCCCTGACTTTATTCCTAAATGATGCAGTTTCGGATCACCAAAACAACACCAGTTTCTCCTCGGTCCCAGATATGCCTAGGCGATGAATTTCCACAAGTATGTTATTATTTCCCACTGTGGCTGATATTGTGCAGTGTTGCGATTTTTCGTCTTATCTATACAAACAAAATTCACATCTTTTCAGACATAGATAAGCTAGTTCACCATGCTTTGAAATCGTAGTATTTTCTTTAAAACAATCTCAAAAGACTTTGTTGACTTCATTATCAAAGCAGCAACTGTAAACGTGTGTGTATGAAGTATAATGCGTAGTATCTCTAGACTTCGCCTCCCACCCCCACTATTCAGTGGTGTTCCATTTAACTAGACTGATGGTTTGATAGCTTGAAAGTTACTTTTAGCATAGCTTTGGATTTACTGGCATTCCCAATCTTGGCAGACTTTTTTTTATCTCTAGATCGAAGATTGAAACAATTAAAGGTAAAATGAGTAGACTTGTTAGGTTCACAGTTTTACTCAGAGTATATATTATCTTTCCTTACAAAAGAAAGACGTACTCATGAACCTGTCGCTCTCATGCCCGACCGCACAGAGATTCATCTGTTCGTGGGATATTTCTTAGTTGAATTTGACTACTTATATGACACAGTTCTGTTGAACAAAGATATTGACAAGATACAGACTTTTTTGAACAGATTGAGTAATAATTTGGGATTATTTTGAATGTAAACTGTTATTTCAGTGCTGGTCTACTTTATTGCTTCATATGAGAGTAGAAAGTGAAGCGATTAAGGACAGTGACTACCTCACTTACTCGAAAATGGAAATCAACCGTGGTAAATCGGTGGCCGATGAAATAGCTATGCTTGTACAAATAGCCATGTTGGATTTTACTTACTTATCTAACCCATAGTACTGGTGACATATCCGATTACCTACTAAGTTTTAGTGTGCTGCTCAGTAGTTCACCTTGTCCTTCTCTATGTCTGTAACGCGTGACCATTAAAATTGAAGAACGTGAGTGGGTTCTAGATGTTCAACTACTCTTGCCTTCGTATCACTGATCATGTGTTTCAGAGCCACTATATCGGTAATGTGTGAGTTTAGGCGTAAGAAATAGGTCACTTGATGATTCTGTTGACTTTCGTCTACTGACATGCTTTACATATGTGTTAGGCATGTTCAGTCATGATTTACTTCCTTGACCACCACTTAATTAAGTGGGGATAACAATGCAAAAGGTTTAAGTATGGTCATACTAAAAGGTAGCATGCTTCCCCTAAGTCTCTGACGGTTGATATCACCCATGAAGGAAAACGTGAACCTCTAGGTCATGGTCAGTATGACAATCGAAGTCAATAACTACCAATTGTGTATGAAACGATTTTAGTTCTAAAGATGCTCATCATGTTAACTTCATCATAATGCATTTGTCGCATTCCCTTATTTGATTTATTCCCTTTCCTTTTTATCTTTCCACCATCGTTTGCTTGCATCATTTTCTTTCCACTTCTTTTATCCTTCGTTTTATTGTGTTATGTCTTGATGTTTTGAAGTGATTTACGGCAAGTTGAAGAAGCAGTTAATCCAAGTCCTACATTAATAATGTCTATTTGTCACTGGTTAACTAGTTCACTAGTTAGTAGCCGGTCCTAAGCCCGGATAAAGAGGGAAGGTTGGCCATAGGGCTAGCAACCTCACCCCATAAAACCAATCTAACCGCTAGAGAAACTTAGAGGCACAAAGAAAATATAAAGAATAAAAACAATATTATTCTTCGCTGGAATCGAAGAGACGAAATGACGCTGGCTGGTGAAAGACTTCGGGAAGTCAATTGGATAATATGTCTTCTCTCGATGAAAGCGAAAGCAAGAATGGGGACATGAAATTTCCGCACCATGTTTGAACCTAGCAAGGCTGCCCAGAAGGCAAAAGAGATGAGGAGGTATAGCACAGAAGTGCTAGGCTAGGAATCTGAGAAAGCAGGTGGAATAGAAGTGGACTCTCCAAACTGTCAACTGGAGAGGAGTCAATAATCTACTCCGATATTGTCGCCCAGACGACAACCACGAGCACACACTGAGTTCTCGAGTGGCTATCATGATGTCTCAAACAGCATAGAAGGCTCTCAGGCAATTGGAACCAATCTCCTCCTCCAGGGCCATAAGAGCAAAATTCAATTCAAAAGGAAGCAAAGTCACAATCATTCAATGCTGCGCTATGTGCCTACAAATAATGCAGATGAAGAGAAGAAGGAGGAATTCTACAGACAACTGCAATCAGTACTGGACAAGACCACAGACAGCAACGGCGACGCCAAAATTATAATGGGCGACATGAATCCCAAGCAGGGAGCAGACAACACAGGAAGAGAACTCACCATAAGTCGAGAAGCACTTGGTGAAATGATGAAGGAGAATGGAGAACTGTTTGCAGAATTCTGCGCATTCAACGATTTGGTGATAGGAGGCAGTGTGTACAAACACAAGGATATTCACAAACCGATATGGACTTCACCAGAGACCGGGACACACTAAAAATCAGATCGACTTCATCTCAATCTGAAGAAAGTGGAGACGCAGCCTACTGGGCACAAGATCAGATCAAGTAGAGGAGCAGATGCAGGCTAACACCACTTACATCACTATCTAGTGCAAGGAACCCGCCTTCAAAATCAAGTTGGAAGTCTTTAAAGAAGTTGGTGATAGATGACAGTTCAACTTCAACACCCAGAAACTGAAGAACAAACTATAAAGGACATCTTCACCTCAGTTATTAGAAAAAAATGAAAGATAATGAGCAATATCCGTGAAGAAACCTGCGTGGAAGAATACTGGAACTCTTTGAAACCTATGTGGAAGGAAACCTGCATAACCGTATTAGGAAGAAAGAGGAAACAAGCCAAGAAATGGATCTCGACGGACACTTGGAAGCTGATAGAGGAGAGAGAAGAAGATGAAGAAGTAGAAGATAAACCAGTGGGAGGATAAACAACGAAAAGAAGAACTGAGTACAACGTATAAAACACTACACTGGACAAAGAATTGAAGAAGAGTGCTCCCAAAGGCAAAAGACACTTCTACGACACACTGGCAAGTGAAGCAGAACAGGCTGCTGGTAGGAGACACTGAGACCTGACAACATTATATCAAATGAGCAGGTTGCTATCTGTGAGGGAAGAGATCAACACAGATGAAACGCATAAACGATAGTGAAGGAAACCTAGTTACCACCAAAGAGGAGAATCAAAGGAAACGATAGACTGACCACTTCAAAAAGCTCTGGAACTGACCACCAGCACCAATACCTGCAACTCGTTCATAAATACCACCAGCAACTGCAGAACTGCCAGTGAACACAGGCCTTCCGATGAAAGTCAAAGTCCTGAATGCCATAAAACTGCTGAGGTTCAGGAAAGCAGGAAGATGAGATGAAATTCCAGGAGAAGCACTGAAAACGGACTCAGGGACAACAGCAGACATGCTGACACCACTACTGCATAAGGTATGGAAGGAAGGGAAGGTGCCTGCTGACTGATTGGAAGAAGGGCTACCTTATCGAACTCCCAAAGAAGGGAGACCTAAGCCTTCGCAAGCACTGGCGAGGAATCATGCTGCTGTCCACCCCAAGCAAACTATTCAGTCGCATCATCCTGGAGAGAGTAAACAATGCGTTGGATTCAAAACTGCGACAGAAACAGGCTGGATTCAGAAAGTACAAATCATGTGGGGACCAAATTGCAACACTACGCATCATCATAGAACAGAGTATAGAGTGGCAGTCAACTCAACTCAACCTCAACTTCATCGGTTTTGAAAAGGCCTCCAACAGCACTGACCGAGAAGTAATTTGACAGACAGTTGCATCAACACTACGGTTTTAGTGCCACAAACCTTTATCAACCTAATTCAACAACAATATGAAGACGCCATATGCCAGCCAAGTAATTCACAATGGAAAGTTTAGTGATGCTTTTGAAGGGAAGTGAAGTGAATACAGGAGTACTATCACCGATGATATTCCTGATTGTGGTGGAGTGGAACATGCAACAAACAGTGAGGAGCGAGAAGAAGGGGATACGCTGGTTGGACTGGGGAAAGGATCGTGGATTTGGATTTGGCCGATGACTTGTATCTAATGTCACACAAACTCAAAGATTTGCAGACAAAATCCAACAAGCGAAGATGGGACTTCCTTCAGGTGAACGTAGAGAAGACAGAGGTGATGAAGATACCCAACCAACACCATCACCACCACCACCAACAACAACAACCATCTGCAATCACCATCAACGGGAGAAACGTAGAGGAAGTAGTCTCTTTCACCTACCCAGTTAAGGTAGCATGGTTTCAACTACAGACGGCTCAAACGAGAATGTCAGCGCCAGGATCGGAAAGCAAGACAGGCTTCCATCAATCTGAAATCAGTGTGGAGATCTACTGCAGTCCACTCAGCATAAAGAACAAGATCCGGATTTTCAACACGACTGTCAAGTCTGTGCTTCTGTATGGTTCAGAGACTTGGTGCGTTACGAAAGGCATTTCGAACAAACTACAGACATTCGTGACATTAACAGTTGCCTACACTGGCTCGACATTGAAGATCAGATGGATTGCCAGAAAGAATAAGCAGCCAGGAACTCTGGGAACGAACCAACCAAGAAGCTATCACCCACCAAAATGCAGAAGAATGTGGAGATGGATTGGGCATACACTGAGAAGGTCGATTGGGGACATCAGGCGCCAGGTCAGGCACTAGAGTGGAATCCGAATGCGAAATGACTAGTTGGGCATCCTAGTCGAGGGTGACATGGAAGAGATCGTGTGAGGAAGTAATGTAAGCTTTTGGGCAGTCGTGGAACTAGGTTGAAAAGACTGCTGAGTGAAATGGAGGTGTACTACTGAAGTTTTATGTACCACTAGGAACCCAAGGGAAAAATAACAATAATAATTTGTCACTGTATGATAACTTATGAAATTAATTGTTAAGTGAGACTTATTTTTGCCAAAGAATCTTATTAGATGATCTAACCATAACTCCGTTGGTAAAACTCTGTACAGAAAGAGTTCATGAACACGTTGATATATGCACTTTCTTACTATTTAACTCATTTACGGGAAATATATCTATAAATTTCCTGAAATCCAGAGCTATTAATTTTGTTGTTTGTAATCAAATATCAATAGTGCTTATAATATATACCAATTTCTGTCAAGTAACTGGTTCATAGGTGTTTTTTTTAATAACTTGTTTAGTAATAAAAGGAGGATCAGGAAAAGGTGCTCTCCTTTTGCGGTATATTATAAAATGCCTAATGATTGTTAAATTTATTGTTTTCTTCTTACAGATCAATTTCTAGCAGATCACTTCTCAATATTTTTTCAAACAGAAATCTATCGCATTCTTGTACGTGCATACTAGTGTTTGTACTCTTCCATTTTTTTTCTATATGCGTTCACTATCGCCTATGTTATTCAGTGTTATCATGTAAAGAATATATGGATGTTTTTGTGTGTGTATGTGTATGAGAGGGAGACGATGAAAGCGAAAAAGTGGTAATACTCAGAAAGAACACTTATTGCTGCAGATGGAAACCTTTTTTCTATCCTTTCGTCTACCATCAAATACGACGAGCAAAGTATTTAATCTTGCTTATTTTGTTCAATCAACCAAAGAATGTTGGTATCATTTTGTTCCCCCTTGCCTTTCCTAGTACATATGAAAGTGATTATAAGAAAACAGCACAATGGTTCATTTTCTGTTTTACTGTTTACCTTTCATGTTTTACTTGTTGTCACTGCACTTACTTATAGTCTATTTCAATGTAGAATGTTTGTGTTTTAACTACCACTATATGAATCTCTAATATATACTAGGGGATTCTCATTACGAACTGATTAAAAGAAGAGTCAAGAAATATACATCAATGAAGACAAACTTTCTGCAAACAATAACACCATGATCATCATCATCATTACTTGTTTCTCACTGTTTTGATTATCTTTCATGTTGTTTTGTGCATCATCATCACCATTCCTGTTACTGCAGACTGTCTCCATAACATTATCCAGTCCTTCCTGTATTTCAGTACAAAATGTTTTGTTTGTTTACATACAATAGACGTTAGAAATCTAATTTCGGTGCGCCAATATGTATGAAGTACTGTGTCAACTGATCAGTTAAGACATTTCATTTACTTGTCCAGAAGATTTGATTGAACTTTAACGTCAGTGTTTTCCATCATTTATTTTTGTTATTCATTCATTTTTACTACTCATTTTCTCCTATTTCTTGTGATATGACTATGACATAATATATTTTTATTATTATGACTATTTTGTGAGCATTTTATACACATTGTCTTATCCCAATCAAAGTAGCACAGATATCGATTAATATTTTGTTTGTTTTTATTTTTTTCACCCTTTTTTAATGTTTTATTTTCCTTTTAATTAAGATTTCAAATATTTTCGTCTTATTTTCCTGTTTATGTTACTTCAGCATTGGTAAGTATGCTCATATTTTTGGCTAGAAATTATGATTTGCATCATTTTACTTTTCAACTGTTTTTTCTCTTGCTGTGTATTTGTATACTACTTGTAAGTGTCTTATGATTTCAATCTATTCATTACTACCAGTGGCTGTTTTCGTATACCGTTTATGAATAAGTCTTGGGATCGTCATGAGACATTTTCTAGATACGTTAAATGGATATCATCTGGGCTTTTTCTTGTTTAGATTAAAATGTCATCTTTATCATAGTCTTAGTAACATCCGCCATTATGATATATTTCGACATAATAAAAACTTGCTTCTTGTCCTTTTTTGTGATTGAAACCACTGATTTGCTTTGCGCACACGTTCACCTACTTAAGTGACTTATGAGTAGTTGAAGAGGAGTTTCTGTAAGTTAGTAAAAGTGAAGTAAAGTCAGTATTCTGAAGTGGCTTTGATTGATCCCTGTCATTTTTTTGTGTTAGGCATGTCATATTTTGTTTCGGGAAACAGCACACAAAGGTTGTATTTTTTACTGGTTGCTTCAGTAATTCATAGTAGCTAGGAGAATCCGTCTCTGAAGCAGCCGTTATAATAGTTTTCACTTGAATCGTTTGTCAACTTGTTAGCTAACTTGATATAAGGCTGTTTTCCATATCACCTCTCAGAAAGCTATACAGTAAGTGATAAGCGGATAGTTTCTATTTTCTTTGCGTTTTCTGATTCAGATTAAGAATCATATAAATAGCAGAAATCTGATGAAGAAAGAATTTGAAGTATACATCCCGAATTCCTTTACAGTGAGGTATGTATTAAACCTGAAGTTGAAAATATTGTTAGTCCATTGGATTGTTGCACTATGATTGAGGAGTATATCGAAACAGTTTCACAAAGATGAAGGTGACAGCGGAGCAGAAATTAAGAACTCATGCATTTATTAACTGAAATACCAAATAGTAAGAGTTCTGTAGCATATTATCACGAAAATGAATTCGTTATCATTGGTTGTTTTGGTTTATGCAAATTCTGTAGTGTGTTACTAAACCACATTTTTCGAACAGTATTACTTTGAGTCAACCATGCACATAAGTGTGAAGAGTAATTTGGAGTTTTGTTATTCAACTAGGGCGTATTGACTCTATATCAAGAACTGCTAGCTTTGCATAGATTATGAATGGAGTCGGGAAATAGTAATGACTGACGAACAAAGAGAAAACATTATTTTGATCACTGCACCTGCCATGATTTGCTGTCGACAATATATATAAACAACCTCTTACATTTGTTTTTGTTCCTTTTTGCTTTATTCTCAGTTATATCAGTTAAAAGTTTGTGATTTGACAGACTTTTATTGCTACTGGGTGTCGTAGCTCAGTTGGTAGAATATTGGGCTGGGAAACCTGGTGGTCGCTGGTTCAAATCCTGCTGTGGTCCAAGTTCTCATTTTACCTTCAATCACCACCCAGTATCAATACAAGTCTGCCAAATTACCACTATATCAAATAAATAGTCAAACTGATAATCACTACGAAGCTTCCCAAGTATGATTTAAGTAGATTTGGATTTAGATAAAAAGTCCTGGCCGGGTGGCCAGCATGAGCACAGTCAAGTGATGGTAATGCATCACGAATCCACATGGTAGTCGGGCGAAACCCTTGATTACTGAAGTGAAAATAAGATCTGGTCAGCAACCAGGTCTCGTAGTTAAATTGGTAGAGCACCGGGTCATACTTACACCAAAAATACGTATATGACAATAAGTGACTTTATTATTACGATGTTTAAACGCGTGACAGTTACTAACATGACTTTTTGTAAAGGTAACAGTTTGCCTCGTTATGTTTGTTGATAACCATTTATTTCAGCGTCAAGCAGGTCATACATAACCAAGTGAAATGTTCCTTTTTTAAAGTAAATTGACTGGGAGAATAAGGAAGATATATGACTTTCCCAGGCATATACAAACATTCGTAAAATAATTTCTAACTAAAAATGTTGTTCTGTCAGCTGTCCAGCTGTTAAATTTTTAGAGAAATAGCACTGAGAATAACGCCCATCATGGCGTCAAATTCTGTAACACAATAGAACATGTACTCGGGGGCAACAAAACTACTAGAATATACAGTAACTTGAACTGCATGTATTTCCCACTGTATCAAAGAAACATGTTCTAATGAAATTCGATGGATTTATGGGTTTATCACTAATCAGGCACTTAAATACCGTTTCACATAATGATTCATACCTTTTTTAAACGATAATATGTTAAAGAATCCTTTAAGATACCAAATCGGTAAGAACTTTTAATCTATTCCGACCCAGTGGCTCAGTGGTAACGGAACTTGAAGGCACTAGGGTCGGTCCCTGGTGGGCGGAGTCAAAGGGAGGAGTTTCCTACTAGGATAAAACAACTGATGTGCCCTATACTAAATATCTTCGAAGTAGACTTCTCAAGATTTTAATTTGAAACTGTCATCAATGAAGTTATCCAAAATGGAAGGATGGATGCCAAGCGGTGACATTAGATGTTCATCATATTGTATTTCAAGCTGACTGAAGTTGGAGAATGTGTAGCACTAAATTGCAACCCATTGGTTGAGTGGTAGATAACACGTTCGAAGTGAGACTTGATGAATGTGGTCCTTATGTTACATGTAAAATATTACAACACACTTCTGCAAATTTCCAGACTGGAGAAAAGTAATTATTCTCTGTTCGGTGATTTTCAACTCCTGTCTAGTTGATGTCAGCTCGCGTCTAAAACTACTGTGATATCTTCACACAGTTGGTATACTTGACGATGTTAGATGTAAAGGGAATAACAGCACTTTCAGAATGAAGTGAATTTACTCTATAGTACAGTTTTTCATCAGCTGTAAGCAAGCTAGAACTGAAACGAATGCTAAGACTAGCAAATAACTGAATAAAATAGTTTAAATGTTGTAGTTGAAGGCAATGCCTAATGAAGCACGGCAATTAGTTCAATATGTCTGATTGTAATTAAACTGAAGACATTAGAAAAAAAATCTGATTTTCATTCGTTCATTCTACATCACACCGAATATTGTTTTCCTGAATAAATTAAATACATTTTTTCTGTTAGTGAATTCAAGTACATCAAACTAAATATCAGTAATTGTGAACAGCTAGAAGAAGAAAGGTTGTGTGAATGAGGAAAAACTGAGCTAGAAGCTTTTTCCGAGGACAACGTTTTAATTACCAAATCTAGGTTACATTAATGAAGATTTCAGGTCATTTTAATGGATGTGTCTTGTTTGTGCGATGCATTATGAAAAACTGGCACTACAGTGTGATGAAATCTTTTCACTGAAATATTTTACGCAGCATATTTTGTTTTGAAATAGATAAGGGTTTTGATAACTTTTATGTCAACCCAATTAGGTAAATCTTTAGTACACAGATTATCTTATAGAACCATGTTTCTCCAGAGTATAATTAGAAAAGCCAGGTGATCTCCTTTTTTCTTCTCATGTCCCACACTGATATAAGTTGCATAGCAATAAGTTTTTTTTCAGTCGATAAGTTGGATTCATACTTTCTGCATTTGATCATGATATTGTCAGCGTTCGTCCTACACTAAGCAAACTGTTCATCAGATTTTTAACTTGTGACATAAACATCAGTCATTAACTAGCTCTAGAGACTTCTGGCAGAAAATCTGTCAAGAATGTAAAAATATGTGCGGAAATAGTATTACTTTTCTCATGAATGTTAGAAGATAAGGAAACAAGAGATCATTTGAAGACGCATAATCGAAACAAATATAATGGCTTTTGTTGATAGTATTTTCACAAATAAGAAGAATGCTTCAAGCGAATACGTAGTTCTGTTTCTGATAAACTTGTTTCAAGGGTTGTCAAGTTAAAGTGCATTATTCAAAGATGACTCTTATAAAATAGTCTTTAATCATCTTGCAAGATTATATCTGGGTGAAACGAACATAGACAATATTAGGCTTTAGACTGTTAGTTTTCTATGTATGAGATATCATTAAGTATAAAAACCCTATAAATTTTAATGAGTAGAACCTTTCTTAGCTTATAACATTCATATGGAGAAGTTTCAGTACACTGAATGTGTTTGAGTTTTAAGACAATCAGGGAAGTATTTCTTACTTATTTGACTTCATTACTGAGAGTAGGCATAAAGAAGACTTGCGTGAGCTGCTTAAGTCTGATAACTCCTATCGCATTGACGGTATTTCTGGAGAATATAAATCAAGTTTTACTTATGATCTTAGTTGATCGTCTCATATCTTGTTGACTTGTAGAAAAAAATTTTCGTTTAGCGTATTACATAAAGGAACTGAGGCTTTCTCTCTACTTCTCCAATTGATGAATTCCTTCAATTTATCTATTCTTCTCTATTGTTACCCTTCGATCTTTGCTGGTCTACTAGCAAATGATTACGTCATATTGCATACGGCTGTAAAAGCCGTCAGTAGAGTGAGTGGTGTGCCTCTGGCCTAACTGAAATAACACTGCAGCTAATAGACATTTGAGTTATAGCAAGCAACTAGCTACAGTAATTTTAACTGACACTGAGCATCCACTTCGTTCACAGCTCTCTCCTCATATCTCTTCAGGGCGGACAGAAAGAAATTACACTAGGGTGTACGCTCGTACAGCCAAATACAAGAATTCGACTGACTGCATCTTACCTAGAACGTATATTATGTGAGGAAAATCTGTTAGAACAGAACTCACATATACACTTTGTAATAGTTAACAATCTCATTTCAATAATTTTATCAACAATGTAGTAATTTTTTGTTATTAATATTCTTTACATTGCTTAAATTTTTATAACAACACAATTTGAAATGTTGTAGAGGAGTATATATACATATATTTTGTTGTTGTTGCAATGTATCATGCTGAGAATTCCAAATTGTACCAAATATTGTTTGGAATAAAGTGAATATTATTATAATTATTACTATTCAGCTTGATATCTGACATAAGTAGCGTATATAGCGAATGCATTTTCAAAATTAAGGTTTTGATTACTCTCAGAAGTGCAAACGTTTTTGTTTACTGACATGCATCAGTGCATAAATGACTTTAATCAAGTTAATATGAAAGGATTTCAAGTTTTCGTTACCATGAGTTTGCATGATGAACCATAGTAAGATTCAATACCCTACAGCATAAAATTCCTGACTGATTCTTGTACTTTTCTCGTAGTTTTAAAGTTTTGTGTAACTTTGATTATTATTATTTGTCCCTTGGGTTCCTAGTGGAACATAGAGCTTCCGTCACACGTTTCCAGTGCACCTTGCTCTCTGCAATCATTTGAACCTGGC